TTTGGAAGAAATTCGTGAAAATTCCAAAGAATTTTCCAAAGATTTTGGACAAATGGAAGGGAAATTTCTGGAAATCACAAAGATTTCAATTTTGGGGGAGGATTCAAGAAAATCCCAAAGATTTTGAGGGAATTCCCAAAATTTCACAAAAATTTTTTGGGTCGAATCTTGGAAGAAATTCAGGAAAATCCCAAAGATTTTGAGGGGATTTTGAGGGAATTCCCAAAATTTTCAAAATTTTGGGGGGAAATTCCTGAAAATCCCAAAGATTTCAGGTAAATTAAATTTGGTTAAATTAAATTTGGTTAAACTCTCTCTTGGTTGCGTTGGCCAACTGGAAGAGCCCAAACCCATTCATGGCTGGATTGACCAACCAGAACATCCAATCCCGCTCTTGGTTGTGTTGGCCAACTGGAAGAGCCCCAACCCATTCTAGGTCGGGTTGACCAACTGGAAGATTCCCAACCCTTCATTGGGTTGCGTTGGCCAACTGGAAGATTCCCAACCGATTCATGGTTGGATTGACCAACCAGAACACCCAAACCCGCTCTTGGTTGTGTTGGCCAACTGGAAGATCCCCAACCCCTCACTGGGTTGCGTTGGCCAACTGGAAGATTCCAAAACCATTCATGGTTGGATTGACCAACTGGAAGAGCCCAACCCTTGATTGGGTTGACCAACTCAAGTCTTGGTTGCGTTGGCCAACTGGAAGATTCCCAACCCCTCATTGGGTCGCGTTGGCCAACTGGAAGAGCCCAAACCCATTCATGGCTGGATTGACCAACCAGAACATCCAAACCCACTCTTGGTCCCGTTGGCCAACTGGAAGAGCCCAACCCTTGACTGGGTTGACCAACCAAGGTCTTGGTTGCTGTTGGCCAACTGGAAGATTCCAAACCCATTCATGGTTGGATTGACCAACCAGAACATCCAAACCCGCTCTTGGTTGTGTTGACCAACCCAAGTCTTGGTCCCATTGTCCAACTGGAAGATTCCCAACCCATTCATGGTTGGATTGACCAACTGGAAGAGCCCAAACCCTCATTGGGTTGCGTTGGCCAACTGGAAGAGCCCAAACCCATTCTAGGTTGGATTGACCAACTAGAACATCCAAACCCGCTCTCGGTTGCGTTGGCCAACCAAAGTCTTGGTCCCGTTGGCCAACTGGAAGATTCCCAACCCCTCATTGGATTGCGTTGGCCAACTGGAAGAGCCCAACCCTTGATTGGGTTGACCAACCAAGGTCTTGGTCCCATTGTCCAACTGGAAGATTCCCAACCCCTCATTGAGTTGCATTGACCAACTGGAAGAGCCCAACCATGTCCTAGATTGGGTTGACCAACCAAGGTCTTGGTCCCATTGGCCAACTGGAAGATTCCAAACCCATCCGTGGTTGCGTTGGCCAACTGGAAGATCCCCAACCCTTCATTGGGTTGCGTTGGCCAACTGGAAGATTCCCAACCCATCCATGGTCGCATTGGCCAACTGGAAGATTCCCAACCCCTTCTGGACTCACCGGCGCCGAGGCCGCGTCTCCGGTGCGATTCGGCGAAGGCGGTGATCCGCGGCCAACTGATGGCGATCTCCTCGGCTTTTGGGGGAAAAAATGGGAATTTTGGGGAATTTTTGG